CCAGGAAGGCAGCCGTGGGAGGCAGCAGTCCCCGCGGAGGGCAGTGCGAGGTGGGGTGCGCGCTGCTGCTTCCCGGGGAGCCCCAGCCCGCTCTGTCGGGCACGCGCCTCTGCCCCGCTCTCACCCTCTGCCCCTTCCTGCAGGGCACACCTCTGTCTGTTTTTGTGCCTGCAGCTCCGTGCGGACATCATCACGGGGCGCCTGCCCTGCTCCTTTGTCACGCACGCCCTGCTGGGCTCCTACGCCGTGCAGGCCGAGCTGGGCGACTATGATGCCGAGGAGCACGTGGGCAACTATGTCAGCGAGCTCCGCTTCGCCCCCAACCAGACGCGGGAGCTGGAGGAGCGCATCATGGAGTTGCACAAGACCTACCGGTGAGCCCCAGGAGAGGACAGGCTGGTGGCGAGGAAGGCACCAGACAGCTGGCCCACGCCCGGTGGGGCGCCCGGCCACATGTCCCCCTCTCTGTCTCCCTGCAGCGGAATGACCCCCGGGGAAGCGGAGATCCACTTCCTGGAGAATGCCAAGAAGCTCTCCATGTACGGGGTGGACCTCCACCACGCCAAGGTATGGGGCCGTGGGGCTGCCACAGCAATGGCCAGTGCCACCCCATCCTGCCATGCTGCGGGCACACCCCTCCCTGCCCAGACCCTTCCTCCCACAATGAAGGTTCAATAAGGACGTGGTCCTGGGCAGCTGGCTCTGGGTGGCCCTGTGCTGGACCAGAGGACCTCCAGAGATCCAACCTCAACCAGTCTGTGGTTCAGTGACCTCTCTGTCAGCCGGTCCCCCAAGGCAGAGCACCAAGCAGGAGGGAATGTGATGCTGCTGGCCAGACTGGTTCTTACTGGGCAACTGAGCAGTCCCCTCCTGTCCCTCTTGCCTCCTCCAGGACTCGGAGGGCATTGACATCATGCTGGGTGTCTGCGCCAATGGCCTCCTCATCTACAGGGACCGGCTGAGGATCAACCGTTTCGCCTGGCCCAAGATTCTCAAAATTTCCTACAAGAGGAGCAACTTCTACATCAAGATCCGCCCGGGTGAGGTGGGTGCCATGCGCCAGTGCGGCCCCGGGGCACGGCAGGGTGCCTGCTGTGCTGGCTGGTGCTTCCTGGTGGGGAGGTCCTCGCCTGGCTCCAGCTTCTGTCCCAGGGGTCCCAAGTTAATGATGATGCTGGCCAAGAGACCACGTCTCCTGGGGCACGAGGAGGCTTTTAGCAAGTGCTTTCTTGTTCATGCTCTCATTTTCTCACTGGCAAAGTGACTTCAGCAGGCTGAGGGCACCCCAGGCTCCTTGCCCTACCAGCCAGACACCATGACCCTGGTGGCTCACGGAGGTTGTCTAGGAAGCGGGATTGAAGGCCATTTTTGATGTGTCTTCCATGCTTCACAAAAAAGCATCAGGAGGCTTTTTCATTCATTTTCCAACTTTATTTTCACTCTTTTCACTTTTATGTGTACTGATGGGAGAATGCATTTCCACCCACGTTTTCCAGCAGGGAGGAGGGCAAGGACAGTGCATCTTAAATGGAGAGTGATGCTCTCTCACCAAAACAAGCTGTAAAAGGTTTTTATTTCTTGAGGGAATTTTTCTTGCACTGAAAAGCCATTTACAGTTGAGGAAAGTGCTTAGGCCAAGAATGTGGGGGCGTGATCCCACCACCCAGTGGGCCTGGGCATGGACCATTCCAGCAGTGCTTTGAAGAAGACTTTTATTTTTGCATGGTCATGGCTCCTGCCAGGGGAGCCTGAGGGCCTTGGCAAGGTAGGTCCCATCCCATCATGTCCTCTAGGGCGGGATCTGCCTGTAACGGTGTGTCTCTGTCTCCCCCAAGTACGAACAGTTTGAGAGCACCATTGGCTTCAAACTGCCCAACCACCGCTCCGCCAAGCGTCTCTGGAAGGTCTGCATAGAGCATCACACCTTCTTCAGGTGAGGAGACCTTCTCCACACCTTCTCCACGCCTCCCCTGTCGGAGGCAGACATGCTCCTGCCTCTGCTGCAGTGGGGGGCAGCACCGGGGGGCACGGCTGGGGCTCGCTGATGGCACTCCACCTCTGTCTCCTCTAGGCTGGTGTCCCCAGAGCCACCCCCCAAGGGCTTCCTGGTGATGGGCTCCAAATTTCGCTACAGCGGGCGGACGCAGGCGCAGACGCGGCAGGCCAGCGCCCTCATCGACCGCCCAGCTCCCTTCTTTGAGCGCTCCTCCAGCAAACGGTACACCATGTCTCGCAGCCTTGATGGAGGTATGCCCCAAATTGGGGAGGGGGAGGGAGATTGGTCCGCTGGCGGGAGCGAGGGGGGATGCTGTTCGGCTCTTCTCTGCAAGCTGGTGGGCTCATTTGTCAGGATTGCAGCAGCCATCAG